GACATGTGACAATCGCGCGATGCTACGGCCTTGGGTCATAAGTCGTACTGTCTGATGAGTCGGAACTGCACACGACCTTAAAAAGCGGTTAAAACTATGGTTCCTGGTGGTTCACGTATCCCAGATTCGTACCTAGTAGATGCTTTTGACACATCAGATGCCCGTTTGTTACCAAATGAGCGCTGTGGATGTGTGACTGGTTAAGACACTAAATCAGCTCAGGGCACAAGCATTTCGAAAATGTCATCCACCTTTCTGTTGTTCTAGCAATACGTATGGATTTTCGGCTTATAAGCATTTGTCCATTCAAAGACCGTGGGGTCTAATGAAATATGGTTTGCAAATGTGCCTGCCAAATAAACCATCCCCTCCGACCGCTCTGCGCAATCAATTGGGTCTATACGGTGTCCAAACGTTTGACTAGATAAGACGACAGGTCATGCCACAGTTTTCTTGCCTGGAACGAATGACTGAAGCACATATGAGTTCAGTTTGACAAGGTTGTACGGCTGGGTTTGCTCGTGGACGAAACAGCAGTTCATATATCCTTCTACGGAGGCCCATGCGTGTAAGTGTTTTATCGATATATCTTAGCATTTCTCAGTGAGAAGTCACAATTGTAGCTGATAATTGGAAATCGTTAAACGCTCAAACAGTAAGTAGGAATTCAATATGCGCGTCCGAATTACGCTGGTTCATTAAATCTGGGATGTTCAACCATTACGACAAATGAAAGCATCGCATGACTCTTAGTTCATAGGATGGACAGCAAAAGTGTACCTGCCACTGATTTGTTGTCAGAAGGTACACATTTAAGTGCACGCACATAATTACGCTATGAGCAAATTACATGCCATGGTGATTAGGTTGAGTGAACGATATTACTCAGACAACGATGTTCACGTTAGGCCAGTGAATCTACCAAAAGCAGATGTGCGAGTGACAGGAGCACGAGCAAGTGAGCGACAGTGCCTTGTTGGTTGCGGAACAAAAACGGATAATCGATAGTTTCGGTCGCTTGGGATCCTTTTGGTAAACGAGCTGTACCAGCTTGCCTGGCCCAATAAACATGATGTACACCCGATACAAAGATATACAACCTCTAACAGGCGTGCTTGCAAATTAAGGCGATGTAGCAATTGTTTTGTCTGGATGAAACGGGAAAGGTTTGGTAACGACAACTGAACATTGTGTTATGGATTTTGAAGTAGGGTGTAAGTAAGTTCCTGTATTCTAATAAATATAATTCTGAGCGTCAATGGAAGGTTCCTTTCTAACTATATCAAAGCGTTTAAAATACGACAAACGGTTGATTTAATGCTGAATCAATGTGCACCACTTTGGCGATATCTATATATCTATCCATATTTCCTAAAATTCGGAAACATACAGACAGGTTTGTAGATTTGCCCATGGTTGAAAGAAACGTGCAACACGATCATTTTCCAAACTGTCATACCTCCGTTTCGTTGTTTTCGACCAGTTGGTGAGACATTCATAATTATTATCTACTCTATTTGGTGTCCTACCCAAGTCCCCCTTAAGAATATCAGTGTCAATGTCTTAAAGTGAGTCGCGTGGTGGACTCGTCCTTAACATGGCTAATTTATCCTTAATGCACCCACTAATTCATGGAAAGAGATAGTTCATTTTTCTGCTAGGAAAGACTGGTACGTGATTTCGTCCAAATTGGGAGTTTGTAGAGGCTGTATCTTGCAGTTTCTGAGCGAGCGAAATAATGTTGGCTGCACTTAAAGAGCATTTTATACTCCTATGTATCATGTTCTATTTATGTCTATGGATATATCGAAAACAACTGCTCACAAAACACCTTGTTTAAAACCACTGGTTGAAAGGGGGTTGACTATCATGATAATGTGACCGTGTTTCTCTTTAAAAAAATCACTTGAAACAGCTGGTTGGAGGTCGCCATTCATTCAAACACACAATTCTATGCGTGATCCTATATGGAACCCTTTAGAGAAGTCTTCTAAGCAACCACGAATGTCAAGCATCTTCATCTATGGGCAGTTCAACTCATAATACAGCGTCAGCATGAGTAGTAGGCGCCCCTCTGACAGAAAAGGACAACCACAGGGCAAGCATTTTCACTCTGATAGATAAGTTTGATAGGTGACCGTTAGTCATTGTGGTGAGCCTTGAATTAAAAAAAATACCACTAAAACTACTGAGCACTGATGGTTTCACGCCTCTGAGGGTTCATGAGGTAGGCCCAGTCTCCGAATCTCCATCAAGATCTCATTTCTACCTGGATACCAAATTCTACGTATGTGCAAACGCAGTTGCTTACAGCTTAACCTAAAGTTAACGGGAGACTCAGATAAATCTCAGTTAAATTGTTCATTTTTGGTAATCTTCAGCTGAATACGCCGAACAGTGTTTCAATGGGAGCTAGATGTACGGCTTGGACTCATCTCAGCCTTCTGTTAAAAGCAAACTGAATTGTAAATGAGTGTTGAGTTGCAAATACCCTGCCTTGATGATGATCCCAAAAACTGACGAAAGAGAGAATTGCATTACGCAGAATGGTCCACCAGTTGTGCTTTCTGTGTAAGATCAAGCTTTTATACAGGATTGCTGAAAGAACATTGGTTGTGGCAGACAAAACTTGCAAGCAATGAATCTAAAATCCAAACTATTACCTGCTGAATTCCAAAACCAACGATTAACCCACCTTTTTGTGATGAGATTCGCCTATGATTTCCGGGTGTTTCGTCTCATTCGGCCGATACACAACGATTTGGTAACTTCAAAGGGAACAGGGTAAATTGCGTTCAAATTACGTCAAAAATGTGCATATGAATATAAGTTGAATGCGGAACGAAAACCATATGTATGGAAAGTTCCACGTGCTACCCATCAGGGCGTTTAGGATTTCTAGTAATGAGACACAGCAAGGGGAAAGACAAGATGACAAGAAGATGGGTTCAGTAAACTGCTCATACTAGTTTCACTTTCTGTGGTCTAGATAAGTCCCCATTTGCCCTTGAAATATGCATTTTTTTCATGATTTCCTTTATAGTGTATCATTTGTCTCTCGGGATAGTGATGTTACACCAAGGTAACGTCATAACAATTTCATATCAACTCTCGGACAAGAGCTACGTGTAAATACACGAAAATGTGAATTATTCAGCATGCATTGTGTCAGAAAGAAACATTGATTTTCTGTCGCGTATTCTAGTGCCCGCTTTTTACTGTTCACTTGTTTGGTCTGTTTAGCTCTTAGTAGACACAGAAATGTAGAGGCGTCCTGTGCGAATGCGAACGATATCATATTATGGACAATAGGAAGTAGTAGTAGTGGTTGCGTTCCTGAATTAGTTGTTCCTGTCAGAAGAAAAATCGCCAAAAAAAGATTGTCTGTGGATAGCCCCTTTGAGAGATTGATTCTCCAAAGAAACGGAAAAAAACTTCAATGGACCAGCCTAAGGCCTTTTTGTGGGACAGAGGTGGAACGATAGCATTTTCAGTAATGCGGTGAATACTTTACCGCAGAACTGCCTCAGTTAGGCATTTATTGGATTAGCTTCACTGCATTCGCCGTGACACCAGGTTATTTTATTCCCACTCGAGTAGCTGACGAGCTGTGCTTGAAATGTCTCCGCACAAGACATCTTAAGCAATGCTTGTAGCCGTTTTACATTGGAGCTCAAACACAAAGGCATGAATTATCTCATGCTGTCGTGTGTGAATGTAGCCTGAATTAGGTTCATAGAGCTTACCTAGCCTCTAGATCCCTCGCACGACGAAGTGATAGTCTCTGGTACTCCACCGAGTTACAGGAAACATAATTAAACTTTAGTGGAAATAACGTGATGGTGGGTCGTAGCAAGCACATGCCACTGGTAAGCTGTGGTTGTACCTTTAAAAACTTATAGCAGTTCATGTGATTAGTGTGAAGAAATTGAGCTGGTTTGGATGATGGAGGGTATAAAAGAGAAACGAGTTCGTCCACGTTCAAAGTTGAAGGAAACTAAGGGTAACGATATGATGAATGACGATATTACGCTCTAATTCTGGTTGAACTGCCTGCATCTAGCGAACCGCCGATACTGTACACAAGGGCTTCTGTAGAGAGAATACACATGGAATCGAGTGAAAGCATCTATCACTCGATAATGATTTTGATGACAGTTATGAGGGGCCGCTTGTCACCTAGATCAACAAAGCTGTCTGGGTCATTTTCCATTCATTATTCCACTTTTAATAGCATTGTCTTAACTATTGGCATGATTTTAAAAAAAAACGTCGGAGTGCGAACATTCGCCAATGTACAACAGCACCGTGTTCTTTCCAGTTCTCGCATAAGGTGGGCAAGGTAACAAACAGTCTTGGTGAGTTCACCAGAATGCGCTGCAGCTATCCGTTAACCAAGCAGTGAAGCTACCTGCAATAATCCCACCTACAATCGATCGTTTCATATTGTCAGGCAAGGTCTTGCTTGCACTACGCAGCTCGGCTCAGTTCAAACCGGCTACAAACGGGCCTCAAACCGATTCGGACGCCAGGTATCAGTCACACAATAGCTTTGGGATCACCTCACCAAATATCTTGATTTTAAGTTTGCCAAATTCAGCCAGGGCACCCATGACTCGTTGCAGTGACAATATATTGTAAGACCAAACGTATACGCTCCTTCCCCAGACAGAAACGTTTGATTGGGTACACTCATTGCTACAGGGGTGAAAACCTAGGCAGTTAGTGAAACAGTCATGGTTAGACGAAGTCCATACTATGATCTTGCCCGCCAATCTTAAGTCCGTTTACTGACACTAAAGACACAGAAAACCGATGGTGCATTGGAATGGGAGGTTTTCGATTTCAAAATTCTCATCCAGTAGGCCTATTTATATAACCGACATTGTACCACAGTTACACAATTCTGATATCATAACAACCTACCTGAATTGTTTGGAAATAACTTCAAGCAAAGAATCCAAATTCACATGTTCAAGGCAGCTCTAATTTTGTTGCAGTCAAGCGATCACAGAATTGAAAGACCGTACCTTGGCTGTTTTGATTGAGTCCAGTGCATAAGCAGCATTTGTCTTGACTCTACGCGAACAGCAGGATTCACACAATTTATCCACGTATTCTGCGCTGGCAGAAAATCCACACAGCTACAGTAAAGAGATTTTTAGATATAATTAACTCCCATGGTAAGGAATTTTGCGGGAATTTTCAATTAAGTTGCCCAAAGATGCTGGAAAAAGGTGTGATCCTCAAGAATTCACTGAATACATGTGTTACGGTTTTGAGGAATGGGCAATAAGGGTTATCCGATGACCTATCCCATGACAACTACAGCAGTCCAAACTGTTCAAGCTTTCCTCAAGCTAGCAGTCAAATCGCTGCAAACAGACATGCTACTATAGCCTTCGACACCTGAATTGGATGACTAGTGAGATGCGCCTCATGGGTAGAACTTCTGCCGTTGGCTATCCGAAGGTCATTCAGACCGACCACTCCAGGTCCTGTGCATATTTTCATTGATAAAATCTATGACTTGGTAACATGAGTGGTGTTTCCAAATCCGGTCCTGCAAATCTCACTAGTCACCATCACCAGACTATGCAGGACTGTCGGCTCGCTTAACAATGAACCTACGGGACGTCCCACGAATCTGGGCTCAGCGATTAGTGTTGATGGGCGGACAAATAAATACAGTTTTCACCGTCGGTAATACGGGTAGACAACTTTGGCTCCAACATCATCGGCTTGTTTGCATTTCATTCTCTTCGGCTGCAAAATCTTTAGTCGACTTTCCTTAACTTCTACAGTTCATAGAATTCACCAGTTTGTTCGAGGTTCATTTGGACGCCATGGCTCCACTTTGGTCGATGCGCTGAATGAAGGTAAGAAACTCAACTTGATAAATCTGCCGTAGTTGATGAACCGAAGTGGTTTTTCATTTCGAATCTGAAAAGAAAACGTATGATCTCAACACAATCCTTCAGGTTCATGGTGCATACAATGTCCGATTAGCGCGAGGCAGGCAGCAGGAACGCATGAGAACATGTTTGCTTACTTCTCTTAGTCATGGAAAGGCTTGGTATAACTGGGACACAACAAATAGTCACTAGACAACCCGTATCTACTGGTCACGCTAGCTGGAAGGAAAAAAACTCTACAATTCGTGTACCAAAGTACCTGACCGGAAAATAAACAGCCTCGTGTACAATGCGAGAAGCCTGAGATGATGTGGGTTGAATTTGTGCCGAAACCCGCTTCGTATAAACCTTGGTATCCAGATATAAGCTGGGTAGAAGCGGGTCTATGTTGTCCGGAAACCAAAGCAGGACAGGCATCACGTTTTCAAGTCCTTACCCTGCAATAGTTGAGAATAATGCAGATTAGCGAACCATCATCTTAAGCATTCCTTTGTGTTATGTAGTGCTTATTGCCACTGGGAGCTTCAAATTTCTAACCCGCCCTGAGGAGACGCTTTAACACTGATTTCTGCACTTTCACTACGTCGATAATCCGCAACAATTTCCTCTAAGCTACCGGCCGGACCACATTGGTTATCGACTTGATCCAGTAAGCTGCCGTAATGTCACTACGACGGGTTGCTGACACAGCCACGTTGTACTTGCTGACCCAATGTCGGACAACAACGGTCCAAGTAGGACTGTATCGCAAGAGCTTTCTCCTTTGTCAAGGCCATCAATTCCGGCCACGACAGCAACCGCATCGTTTTGCGACACCTGCGGGTTACCAGCTGTCCAACCGACAAGCATCCTAAACACGTGTGGCGCAGATAATTTTCGCTATCATTCGGCCAAGTCCCAACAGGCCTTGCCACAATGGGCAGACGCTGGAACTTCCTGTATTCCAAGGAGGAAGTTGTGAACATTGAGTACTACCAAACTAGTCACTACACCTACCCGCATTCACTCCTCAATTAGCCTGCTGTAGCACCCGTCTAATCCGCATCCATATCCATGAAGTGCACGAAAGACGTACGATGTAGATAACAACCATGTACAAATACGTCATAGTCACATACAACCATCACCGATTGCGCTGGAACTTTACGATCACTCCGGTGCTGGAAACTTTATCGTACATGCAACCCTTAGGCTAGAAAAGATCTTTATGCACGGCATGCGATTCGGAATTTACAACTAAAGAGCGTGCTCTTGGAGAAAACGCTTTGCACAACACCTGCAGTGCTGGTGTTTTCTCACCATGTGCACTCTCCCACTGTCACAGACCAAACACAGTGTCAGTATCTTGTCCACCCAACGGAGACAACAACAGCTGCCGATGCCTATGCCATAGTTACTAACTTCATCAGAGTATTGCTGCAGTTGTCCTGACAGGCCACTGCGTCCTGAGCAAGCCTCGAATACATTGGTGCTTCAAGCATACAAGCCCTCGTAACCAACATTGGCTGTAGACTATCGATCACCCAGCCCACTTTGATACAAGTGGTGGTAAAAAATTTCTCTTATCAGCTGGCTCTAACACGGAAAAAATTTTAGTGTCGATATTTTTCCCATTCCAGTATGTGTCATTGAGATTACTATCATATAATTCAGTGGAAAAGCGTCAGTAATTCATCAAATTTTGTCGAAATATTATAGTTCTGTCTAATTTTACGCAAGACTGTCAGTTGGCTTACAGACTGACCCAACTCCAGTTATAATGTTGCGAAAAGTTCTGAAATTCCCTGCCCATCGGGTAACTTGAAGCACTCTACATGGAATTCTCAATTTGGGTACCCTTGTTGTTTGTCGGGGCACTTTTGAGGATAAGCAAATCCCCAGTATTCGATATAGAAATTCAATATAAATGTCGCGTTCTGGCACAGTGTCTACTCATCAGTTTGGCGGAACTCAGGATTTGAATAACTTGTACTGCAACACCTTATGCATTGACGCCACAGCCGAAACAGATAGAACAGTAAAGCAAACTAGACGTTTTCCACTGATCTGCGTACCAATTTGGTTTGGATGGGAGAGTCACCTGGACCCCAGCTGAATGCCGTTCATGGTGTTCTTTAACGATAAATTCAGCCGGGTTCCAAGTGAGTTTCTTGTCAAAACTAAATTGGTATGTAGACAAGTATATGATTCGAATTTCCTTCACTTTGGGTTTTTAACAGACCTTAAGGACCATGGAAACTCGGGGACTGCGCCGACCTGACGAGCCTCAATAAGTGAAAAACCCGTCGTGGGCTGCTGGGTACGGTTTCGCCACGTGCTTCATACCTCGTAATGCATCTGTTCTCGTCTGGTCAGTTCAGAGTCAGTGAAAACTCCGTGATAGCACTAATAGCCTTATGAGTAGTGCATTGCGCCTGCACATACTGAATGATATTATGCTACGTGTAGTGCTCGAATTTCCCCTTGTCTGCTAGCCAGATTAAACCGGAAACTTTCGGAGATTTCAGCATATATGGGTTAAAATATGAGGACTTCGTTTTGCAACTTGAGGTAAAGAACAGAAAATTGTGGTGACACGACTTTTGGGCGTACTCAACGAAGCTGGAATCTATTTTGGTGGCCGTTGGGGTGTATTTATACTTCTTTGTCCATGGTTGCTAAAATGGCAACACTGTCACGTCATCGCCTTACTGACAACGAGCAACTCACACGATTAGGGTGTGGTGTGTCCAAGTTCGTCATCTCAGTCGAAGGATCGAGGATTCGTAGCAAACAACTTCATTCACAAAAGACGAAGGCCGATTTGTGACAGAGAAAAATTTCTATATATGTAACCCCTTTTAAGAGGAGGGTATTGTGAGGTGCGTGATGTACGAGGACTTGGGAGAGTCTGGCAGTAAACTGTGATGACCGAAACGGAAAAGCGCCCCCATATTTGAAGCCGTCCTCAGAGTCGTACAGTTTCGCCACATCCTTGTAATGCATCTACTCTGGTCTAGTCAGTTCACAGTCACCGAATACTCCGTGGTAGCACCATATGTCTGTTGACGCTCGCGTGATGCTCAACAGAGTACAATTTGAGGAGGGTGAATATACGAAAAGCAATTTCTATAAATCAGATTGCAAGGTTGTTGGAAGATTTCATTGCGTCCGAGAATAATGCAGTGATACCAGCTGATCCATTGGTTCTAAAACAGAGAAGCCATATCATATTGCTAGTCACTACGTTATTACAATTCCGTAGAAGATTGATGAACCTCCCTAATACTCGCTTTTCAGGCCTCCTGTCACTTGGCGGAATGGAAGCTCTATTTGTTTGTCTAGTCTAAAAGGCTGTCAAATTTGAAATCGAACGATAAGTTCTGACTATGGTTGTGTCATCAAGGATTCAATGCTTTGCACTACTCATAAGGTTGCTGAAAATTCGTCGACAGTCCACGACCGGTTTCACCCTTCTTGGGGCTCATCAGCTAGGCGCAGTCCCCAAGTTTCCGTCAACCTTATGTTCTATTTGGAACCAAACTGCACGAAATTAGCGAAATACACTCACAAACGTGAGATTCAGCTGGGTTCAAGGTGAGTCTCTCGCAAAACCAAATTAGTCTGTAAATGAGTCTACTTCACTGATTTAAGGTTTTGTTTTCAAATCCAAGCCAATTTCGTGTGCATACGAGTAATTTGTTTGTAGGCTTCGTCTTACCCTCTTCTATGGGACTTAAAGAACCAAACTGGATACTTACCGAATGTACTTTCTGAAGGATGAATGCATTTGGTCACATATTGGACGAAAAGTAACAGTCGTGTTTGTTTAGTGGTCAGAGAAGTGAGCAATTCTGTTGTCATCCAGTAAATGCCAAGATACTTCACTTTGTCCACTCCAAAGGCGTACGTCTATACAGTTTCATTTGTGCTCCTAAGTAGATTCCAGTGGCGAAGACTATTGAACATTTTATGGAAAAGAAAGGTAACTTGGCTTCCACACCTAACCTCAGTTACTATGAGAAATCTTATCTGGGTATGCGAGAAGCAGGTGGTATCAATATGTGACTAGCTTTCTGGTTCATGCACGGATTGTAACGAAAGGCCTGATTTGTGCACAGGCTTCACATGGGCAACTCGTTGGATGTCATGCCAGGTGCTCATGAAGGAGTCTAGCAATCAAGTCTTCTCATAATGATATGCCATCCAACCAACCAACGCTACTGCATGTACCTACAACTTTTGCGAACTCAGTGTTCCCCATTACTCACTGAAAACCTCCCCGCCTCTCTGAACTGATTGAAAGTAATCCACTCTAGCAGCAAATGAACTTGTTGAGCCTCAAATAGCCGTATTACAACGATATTCCGTAGTTAAGCTTATTTGCCATAGATGGATATGAGCAACCTCACAATCACTGTGGACGTAAACGTCCGAAAGCAGTGTATTGTGTTCCATGCCGACCGGCACAAAACTGGCTTGTACAAAGTGTGACAACCACAGATCGATCTCATATACTAATAATGAAGAATAGGTGGGTTCAACAAGATTATCCAACTTTCGCTCTGTAACTACAGCTCCGTACAAAGTGCAAGTTAAAAGTCTCAATACTCTGAAGGAAAATTCACTGTGTAAAAGAGACTAGAAGAACTGACACTTAATTGCGACAGATAACGTGTTATCCTGTGTTAGGAGGGTGATCGGTTTTTTTAAAATATTTATCATCCGTTTTATTCGAAAATTATTTCAGAAATTGGAAAATAGGATAGAATGGAGAACGCCGGATGCATCGACAGCTGATAATGTTATAGGGGTGATTGATGGTCACCTCGAGTCTCCCTCTGGATTTGGGGACCTTCATAACGAGGCCAATTGGACAGGTTACTGTAGTACTGGCTGAGGTGTACAAAAGTTCAGTCATCTGGAAAGAGGTAGGGTAGCTCAGATTTTAATCAATCGAAAAGTGATTGGTGAAAATCGGTCACTGCGGGGATAAAGGTTTTAATACTAGAACGATTACGCAGTCTTTTTTTACCACTGGCCGCAATTTTAGGAACCATAAACTAAGCAACTCTTTGTTTTACGTCCATAAAATTTCGCTGTTATCTAACATAGTCTGGTGGTGAACGGACAACTCAAGTAGATAACCAGATAACCAGTTATCTGTAACACCCTTTCGGCGCCTAGCTGCCATGCCACGCGAAGGAAGCACGAGGGCTTGGATACTGCCAGGTTGCCAAGCCCAGACAGGGGAAGTCAAGAGGCGGAGGTCGGGCTCGAACCACAGACCTTCCATTCAGTAAATTCGCGCTCTTACCACTTGAACCATCTCAAGTAGAGGTATCGCTTCACTCGCTAAGGTGCAACCAGACAAACCACAACACTCCAAAATTTACGAGCAAAACATGAAAAGCAAAATTAAGGAATTTTAGTCCTGGGGTTTTAAATTTACAGTTAGGTTTATTGAGCAGATTAGATTTCAGTGATTCTTCAGCGCTTGGTTTCCAGCTGACTCGATCGACGCCCATCTGATGAGCTCCAAACAGACCGAAACTGGTGGTGGGCTGTGCACGAATGTTGAGCAATCGTTTCATACTGCACAAATCGAAGAAAAAAACTCTACTGAAGAGCTCCACAACAGAATCACGAGGCAGCCTGCGTGCTGCAAAAGATGCGGAAGAATATTGATATACTACTGACTAATGGAAACTCAATGGGTTCTCCAGTTCCAGCAATATTTTTGTGCATGTGACCTCGAAATGAGTCCTTTTACTTCGAGTGTTTCCATGATAACCTGAGAACATGTCAAGTAATTCAGTGTGCACTAGCCATCGGTATACGGATACAAGCTGATGAAGTATTATAGTCCCTATGGGGGTGCTGGGAAAATCGTGGCCAAGAGACAAGAGAGCAGTGTTTTAACAAAGTACGTAAAATTTTGATGAGTATCGTAAAAGAACATTGACTTTTTATTGAGACATTATACAAAGCCAAGTGGATGGCATATCTCAGAATTTGGGTTGTAAATTCAGTAAAAACAACGAAGTCCATACGTCCCATGCTTTTCAATTTACAATTGGCTACTTTCGCACATAGGCACAAGGAAACCCCTTCAGATAATTAGTAGGAATAATCACAAATAATTGAACGCTATTTATAACAGTGACTCGACGGCTTGCATCTATCTGTTACTTTTGAATTGTCTTTTCGCCATCCTACATAACACCCCATACTTCCATTGTGTGTTTACGGATCACTAACCCCCAATTCTGTCTAAGTTCACTATCGAACCACGAAGGCTTTCATCATCAACAGTTGTTTTTCGGAAAACATCAGGACCAAAATGTTCTTTTCCAGCCAGAATCTGATAGATGTGTTCTACCAAGGACGTCTCCGATGTACCAGTAAATGGAAAAGTGAAAGTCTATTTCAGTGATTTGTAAGACAGTGTCCAAGATACATTTCTCTACAGACAGCTGCCGACTTTCTCATACGAGGTCGCATACTGAAGTCTTTGGTACATGCCATCCTCAGTTCCTCCCATAAAATAGTGCACGAGTCCGCAAGATTCGTCTTATCCCATGGTTTCAGTCCCTGTATGCACCGTGAAACGCACCTAATATGTCAGCGACAGACAGCTGTCAGCTCAGTTACTGTGTACATTGTAGGCTTACTCACTTGTCCACCACATGCATTTTTACCGCAATATGTAGGTCACAGAAACAGTGAATCCTAACCAAATCCCACAACCATGCGACCCGTATTCTAACGATCGTTCAAACTGGAGTTCCAGATGAAAAATCAAAAAGCGACATGCATTTTCGAACATCGACTGGACCCAAATGGTTTATCCTGGGAAAAGTGAGAATTCGCTATATGGTAGAAAATCGTAATATAATCAAACAGTACAAAGACAGATCACTAGGTGTCGGTAAGGCGAAGCATCACAAGGATGATTTGAGGCTCTCGAGAATCCTTATCATCTGACTCACACAAAAAGAGCTTCTAATCGTTTCTATATTAATGAAGATGAGGAACACCGCATTTTTTCCAACTAGGCCATGAAGCTGGAGGTAAAAAGACATTCTAAGTGTTTGACAGATACGAATCCAGCAAGCTGGTAATTTGACCTTCGGCTTTTTCAAGGATCACCACTGATTCACAGGGTTCATAGCAAGCGAGGGAATTTGGTGAACTCCAAATACTTGAGAAAAACCAAGACAACTGGCCACTGTGCCACAGTGCTCATTTAGTTGAACATCTGTTCATCAGCAAACTGATAGCAAAAACGTCCTAGTTTCAAACAAGCAAAAGTACGAACCATCTATACAAGATGGATTATGTTCGTTTTCAGAATAAAACCTCTGAACAAAGTTTGCGCACTTTATGGAACATTAAATCCAAAACTGTGTATCATAGGCTGTATAACACGGCCCTCTTTGGTACACTACCAAACCATTTTATGTGGAACGTTGGTGCTTTCTGCCGGAATACTTGAGCTCTAGTCGTCCTCGGTCAAAAGGTCAGAAAATCAAACCGTTCAGAGCTTCTCTTTGCGCCTGTGTCTGCTATCTCAGCGCAAAAGTAATATATCCCTTCGAATTCATTCATAAAGTATGTTTCAAGGGTACATTTCAGTGTAAATGTAAGCTCAGCATTCATCATCTGTCTCGTCTAGATGGGAAAGAACAAGCGATGGCGTGTTAAACCACATATGACCTACGGTTCAGTAATCCAGGGGAAATCAGCAGTCATCCTACTCAGTTAAGGATTAAAGAATAAAAAGCAACTTCCCGTCAAACACACTCTTTACTCCTGACCAAAATAAGCTAGATGCATCGGGCACACTAGGACGCACACATCCCCAAACTCGTTTGTATTTCGATGGACTTGGTTTGAAAACCATCCTGACTTCGAAGTCTGCAGTGTTCATCTACTAATTATTCACGGCTTTTGATCATATACTTCGGTTTCACTGATTGCACAACGCACCCGAACTTGGATTCCCCTGTGAAAGTGCCCAATTAGAGCAATCTTGGTCAATTCAAGTGGATGAAGGTTACTTTCAACCTTACCGCTCCGCGTGTATCCTCCCTCAGGTGTTGAGTTAACCCATGGCGACTAGCTGAAAAACCGTCTACTTCCTAGATCACTGAACCCTAGTGCGTGCCTCATGGGTTGAGTATGAAACCGTAGAGAAGTCGGCATGGGAGACGGAAGATGTTTGTGATCGGCCAAAACCACTCAATTACAGAACTAGAGATTCTAAACAAGACGAAATCATCCGAGGTTATGGATTTACGCGTGGAAATCTAATCAGCCCTGACGTTCCTGTTGACAGCACTTAGTCCATCAGGTAAAGCGTTACAGGCTATGTCCCAGTTTGTGTTCACATTGCAGCTTAAATTATGGTTATCGGTGCTTTAGTTGTTTTATATAACTCTTCATGTTCCGAAAAATGAGGAACGTAATCGTAGCAATGAACTGAAAAGCTTAATAGTTTACTTGCATGAACGGGGATATTTAGTACGTTTCAGCTGAGAGAACAAAAAACAGGACGAGGTGAAAAAAGAACGTCTGCTCTAGTCGTGCAGCATAAAGACAAAAGGCAACGAATGACAGTAGCGCTCACCTGATCCACGATAGCATTCAAGAGACATTTGCCATCCCTTGGCATCAGCTTTCTCCATAGGCCCAATTTGGTCAGCTCTCGCTCGAAGTCCATTTCGACCAAGTGAGGCGACAGCACTGTCAGCCTACATGGCGATGGTCACAGTCGTGGGTGGCCTTACTCACGTGGTTTCCTGCTCTCAGTCTGGAAGCGTTCCATGTGCATCTGGGGCGGCAACACATTGGTGACTTGATTGTCGTGACCAGTTCGCCTTCGGCTGACTTTGCACTTTCTCAATGAAGGCCTGAGCATTACGGCGATGGAGACTGACAGGTTTTATTTAGGCCTCTCGGTTTTTGAGTTCAGTTCGGAGCTGTTTTGACGTCAATACACATAGGAGCGCAGCGCTTTCGGGCATGCGTAACTTCGATAGCAGCGACTAAGCCAGCAACCACTCTGGAGCGCACCTATCCCACGACCAAATTATGACCCGGCCGATTTCGCTCACAGGACCAACACACAAACCCACTTACTACTCGATCTCAAGTGTTGCTTCCAATTCAACTACAGCTGCGGCGACAAATGCATAAACAGGATAGAACGGTCACCAACTCAACGAAACAAAGGTCTGTTCAATCACGTGGAAAATACTTGAAACCGATTGGGTAGTCATCGTTTTCGAAAAAGTTTGGTGACAGTCGGTTGTCACCAAACTTTTTCGAAAACGTAACAAAGGTCTGTTTGGGAATTGGTGAAACACTGCGTTGCAACAGTCGCTATCGTGTCCTGTTCGAACGCCTGACACATGACGGAGACCTAACCCTTGTAACTTATTTACGATTCTGTTGAGTGACAATATCTGTTGTGATGATGATATGTAAATCGACAGATCGAAGGCAGCGCAATTCATTGACTCAGAACATTTGAACAACTTGGTACTAAACTCCAACACCCCTACTTCTCTTTTGGATACGTTTTGGTGTTTTTTAAGTGTGGTTACCAAGTGGTAGTATCCGCTGGTGTAACCAAACGGGGATTTGTACTGAAGAGGAGCAGCGATTGTTTTCAGACTTGTTGACCAAGTTCTTTGTAGAGGTTGCATTGTCTTTAAGGCTTCCGTTATCGAAACCCCACTGCACTCAGTTATCTTTTGCCATGTATTAGTAATGCGACAGACATCGGTTCTAAATTTTCGTCCCTTGTGAGAACACCGCAAGCAAAATCCAAAGCCTACTTACGGGTAAGCAGCAATCCGTCGCTGCATTCACCACGTGTAACAAAACACTCCTTTCTTTCTCCATCACTCTTCAAGTTTTTGTTGATTTGCTGTTTGAAACTTCTTTGCCAGCCTATCAAACCTCGGGGATAGAAATTTTCCCGGGGCTTTTGCTCACAGACGTTGGGTACGCGGAAGATTTTGCTCTTCTTGGTCCCAATCACCTAAAGCTGCAAATAATTTTAAATAACCCGAATAATTTTGTCGTTCGATTTGGTATTCGCTTCACACCTGGAGAGTGCTGCTACAAGATTGGGTGGGATCAAGCCAAGCATCATTTTTAAATAACCCGAATAATTTTGTCGTTCGATTTGGTATTCGCTTCACACCTGGAGAGTGCTGCTACAAGATTGGGTGGGATCAAGCTCAAGCATCATGCGTGCAAAACAGTCAACTTGGTAGATAATATGCTTGCTTCGGGCATTGAGAAGGGTCTACAAATTTGGCAAAATACCCATTTTGTTGTTTGCCACCCCCGATATATCAGAAATGACGGTATTATTGTGAGGGGTGGATTTTGTGATCATGCGTAGCGTCAAATTTGATAAGTATGTCATTTGCAAGCACAATTATGTCCTTTAATAAACGTTCTAATGATTATCAACTTCCTTTAGACCGAAAAATTTCCGGTTTCTACCCAGCATGTGGGAATAACGCAACTGGCAGTGTTGTGGAACGTAGGTAGCTCGGGTGCGCTGCTTCGTTGTTGGTCTGTTCGCCGAGCTTGGCAGTTGGATTGCAAACGTTTCATCACCAATCGAGGTGACATCGTCAGTGCAGGGTTGAGTGACTGACGATGTTACCTCGATTGGTAATGAAACGCCTGCAATCCAACTGCCAAGCTCGGCGAACAGATCAACAACCAAGTAACACGCATTATCGACTACTAATTTTATAAAGAAACTCGACCAATCTGTTTTTCGTTAAAAGTGTACTTTTGGCCAACAATTTTATTTGGAAAAATGTACAATCAAATTTAGTGTACAGGTACGGTGTCCAGCTAAATTTAATCTCTTAGTGGTACACTTTAGTAACCTCATGTGGTTCCCCAATCCCGGCTCGTAATTTTGACTTCCGGTTCCTGAGAAGTTAAATTGTCTCAAAAAGTGAAGCGCGCATGCATGAGGAAGAAGGTACCACGCTTGTTTCGACTTTGTGACGTCACACTCTTCTGCTCGCATTTTGCCTCTGGAAGGCTTCTGATTGATTGATTGATTGATTGATTGATTGATTGATTGATTGATTGATTGATTGATTGATTTCATATCTGCGTAATGTCAAGTATCCTGTGAGGTCTACGTGCCAGTAGCTTGTCTGCCACAGCGACCACATTGTTTTCTCCTCAGGTTGATGCGACCAACTTTATTTCGAACAAAACTTTGTTGCGATTCATCAGTTTGATTAACCTAGTGACATGACAATACCTGAGCGACTTTGCGCTACCATTTCAAATGTTCCGCTAATATATAAAATGGATTACACAGTTACTCGTTTCTGAGCACCCTTTTCCGTGTACTTTCCGCAAGAACTGACTTGCCGGTCGAACACTGCAACAGTTAAACAGATTCGAACAGTTTCACCTACTCACAACGGTATCTCAAACATGTTTCTTTGATTTACTGTGGAGTGATGGGAGTTACGCATTGTATTTAGCCTAGGAATTGTTTGGCTGCAAAACCAGTGTTTTTGAACAGTTGGATTTGAGCGCAGTTAGTATCGATCCACTATCGCTAGTGGACTTGAAAGTAAGGGTCCTGTAATAACTCCGAATCTTCTACCAAGCGCAGTCATGTAGAGGTAATTGGGTTAGTGAATTCCGACCGGATGTAATAGAAACCACCCATATTCGAAGTAATAGTCGGCAGTTAGTGCCACACTTGTCAGTCCTCAGGGAATCTCACCACGGTGATTTGCTGGGAACGCATTAAGTACCGATCTTCCGTAGAGTACAAGGAGTCAGACGGTAAATGTCACACCCAAAATATGACGATCCAGCTTCTGGACATTTAGCTGAAAAAAATAACTAATAATCTTCAACACCGTAGACAATCGAATTGTAAATTACCGTGAAGTGCATCACTTTTTTCAATGCAATGAATGACCACACATAAACGGTCTTTACTGAAGCACCGGCTGAATCCCGTCGATTTACAAACTATCTGTCAACCGAACCAGAAATCACTTTCACTGTGACGCCACTCACCAACGTAAAGCTGATTGCGTATCTTTTTTGCAGTGACATCAAACGACGGTTGTGAAATGACGCTTTACTGACCTACGTCAACCATTATCTTAGACTTAATGGCAGGTATGGTCCAACGACCGAGTGTAAATCGACAGTTTCATTAATCACGCACAGATCGACTGATTAGATTTTTCAATAGTATACGCAGTTATCTACATACATCACTGTTACTGGGCCACATTTTAGGAGTGCAACGACGATTGTGGTTTATATGTCTCTTTGTCCGTCCGTCGAGTGATATTTGTCTCGTTCGTCAGAGTGCGTTACAACCTGAATTGAATCAGATCACATAGTGCTCAAAACTTTTCGACTGACCTCTACAGCAGCTATTTTCTAACCGAAACCCTCTTTCCGAAAGACTACTACCATCATTTATCCACTTGATTTCGTTGCTACTTACCGATATTCTTATATAGGTCTGATTTCTCGTGAAACGCGTGTGTGATTTACACCAGTTGCAGGAATATAGATAACCAGACAGAACTGAAGTATTTGCAGACGAAAACATGTGTAGTGGTCTGATCGTTGCGTGGCAACTTTGTTTAGCTTGAAGCCTGAAACATCAGACCTGTCCCAGACGATGAGGAATGTCTGCATACAAACCACGAAGACTTTCATCAGTTCAGGACACGATTTAGCGAGACACTATAAGGCATGGTTTCTGAAACAGGTTCAACAAAGCCATTAGAGTACACACGAGACTATTTTGTGGTTTCTAAATTCATCAGTAAACTCTTCCATTTGCTGGTCGTAAGGTGTGACTGAATGAATAGCGGAAACCCTGGATTGCGCGGACGAGGGGACTAACAAGGCAACAAAGTATTCCACCATCTGCCCCAATCCACCCCAGTACACGTCCAGGTTGTTTACAGTCAAAATGGACAACCCAGTAATCAGTGAACTGAGTGTTCACTGCTACTGATTTCCACAGTGATTTGTTTCGAAGTGTGAGTAAAGTCAGCTGATGAAGTTCCGAATGAAATGTTGTCACACTGCTACTGCCTACCTCAAGTGATGTATATCTTAGATACTCCAAGGGATTGTTTGTCTTTCACAAAAAAACCTGGAGACGGCTCCCTTCGGTAAGAGGTATAGGTATAACTTGTAAGCTATTGTAAGCTTTGGTGCCCAGTTACGGAACAAAGGGAATAAAAACCAAGAAACAACGGAAGATGGGTCGCGAATGAACCAATGGGTGATTCGTCCAACTTGCACTATTCACTCATTTTGCGGAATATTGAGGATGCATTGATTTATTGTCGGTGGCTGTGCTTGAGGTTTTTTGTATATCTGCGTCGTCAGTGTTCTGGTTTTGTCCCAGACGTTTTTGGGGTCCAAGCTGCAAGTAAGCAGTTTCCCGAAGTACAAGGCAACGGCGAATCTCATGAAGAGCAAGCACTGTCCAGAATACCTTGAAAAACCTGACTTTCTGTGTGTGAAGTAGCAGGTGATCAGTAACTTGTATAACTAAACGGTGCTCCTAGAATTGTGTGAATAAAGGTCATCGTGACCAATTTGCATAAATACTGCCTTCAGTGCCATTGCTTCACATAGTTTGTACACAGATTGTTTCTGTTACATTAATTCGATTTTTTAGTAAAACTCTGGAAATTCCGTGAGATGTTGAAAAAAGATTTCAAGTTCATCGCCATATAAAAACAAAAGATCCGTTAAATTTGTTCATTATTCCTTATGTATGAGGTTATGTTGACAAACTACAGATTAGAGACTACCGATTCTTTGAAGATCCCAAGTATACTTCTGATGCCTAGTTTTATAACCCCAAGTTGCTCCAATAATTTTCTATGAAGAACGAAATCTAGCTCACTTTATTCTCGTCTGAGTAGCTGCCCTCTTGTCCAGGCGCAATAATCCTGGCGAGTCTACACCCATGCGGGAAACAATGAAACCGAGTTCCGGTCTTATTACACCTTATTAGCAATGCATATCCTTGGTTGTGCCGGGGTTTGAACTCCGGACCCTGACATGCAAACCGAGTTCCGGTCTTATTACACCTTATTAGCAATGCATATCCTTGGTTGTGCCGGGGTTTGAACTCCGGACACCTGACATGCGGGTTGAACGTTTTACTACTATCCCACCAGCGCACTCTAGAAGCACCTGAATTGTCACATGTGAACAGGCAAACGTGCCAAGCGGCTCGAACGATGACCCATTTTCTGTCCTGGCTGTGTCGATACACCGACTGGCCTGTGAGGGCTCCTCTCCCTTGTTAGGTGTAGGATTTTATGTGACTCTGGAGGCTTCGGCCATTGTTCCATGACTAACGCCTCTAAATATGGGATGCTTCATATCACTGACTCATGGGAATCTTCTGAGCTGATCCTACTTTCTCTAGAGTATGAGTTAAAGTGACACCATGTTTCAAATTTCGCAATGACTCCTATGGATCCTAGCTGTCAACCGGCTGTTGTTTTCTTAATTTGGCATGTTCATAGAATCCCCACTTCTTTCCTTATTTCCCCTCATGGAAAGACTTATTTGTCTACATTGAGCGATCCTATGTGCTAGCCAAAAATACAGGACATTCAAGAAATTTGCTTCAGAGAACAATTCTGACATTTTTTCTTGCCAGCACAACTGATGCGATACGAACACATTCACCGTGAAGTCGAAATACTTTTGTGGGTGGATGGCACATTAGAGTTCAACTAATTCAGTCCGCTGAATCAGACCAAACGGGTTGAGGTCCGTCAACTCAAAACAAGCAGACGTGAAATAATATCGTCAGTATGCTGCAACGTTCAATTTTATTCAACCATTTGTCCACTTCCACAAACGTCACGGTTTTGCGTCACCTTCGAACTGGGCAAGGTAAGTAAGGTAGATCCTGTCAAATTTCATCCGTTGCTCAATGGAAGGCGGTTTAAAAGAGAATTTATTGACACCGCGAATCAAAGTGATGATCCACTAATAACTTGCTCACCTGCGTCGGAATGACGTCCGCATCACCGGGGAATCAATGCAATTACGATCTGAGCACTAAACGTAAACGCTGGTTTGCCCAGGTAGGTAAAATGCCTCCGAGGTTCACGGATGACATGAATAACTAATAACTTAACTGAAGGTAGCGAACATGCTGTCACTGTTGAGTGAAGTATGCACACAGTCCTGCTCTGTTGACAGGAGGTTATTGGAATGATGTGCTGTTTTAACCAGTGATTAAGGAACATTAGAAACGTCCCACTCTCATGTATGATGCGGTAGTGTTGACGAAACAAGCACCATTTTTCGAAAGCTAATCAGTATAGGGTAAAGTGGAAACAAATTGAGGAACACTACGGACAATACATTGGTTTATAGGTGTCAGTCAGCGATGAATTCCCATGCATCTTTATATTGATCGGGTAATAATTTTCAATTGTCCTGTGTTATTTCGGCTTTGTTCTGGGTCAATCCAAGCGACTGTTTCTCATGGGTCGCCTCTCACATTTAAACTGTTCTGTCCGAGGTTGATATTTCATCGTATTACCAGCTAGATGGTCGTGATAACTTATCCAATTCGCCTATCACTTTCCTAAATGTAAACTTAGGAACCGGCTATGCCGTGCAAATGTCACAGCAGGTTTGCCAAAAAGGACGTTGTTACTGAAACCTGTCTGGCTTTCCAGGGGCGTAAAAACATCTCAACTTCCAAATAAGTAAGTATCCTACCATGTTCACCGCCAATAGGCCGACAGATCGTTCAGAAAAAAGAGTTGAAATTAGGACAAATATAGACAAGCTAAAGCGCTGAGGTCTACAAAACCCACTTGGAAACATAGACAAGTGACGTCCGAAAACTAGGTTAGCCAAGTTTTAACACAACACCCCTACGGTTATGCGATCCTGTGAAATCAACTGTTCGCGTTTCAGATAGGCATGGTAGTTGTCACTGTCCTCTTTAATCTTGAGCGGAATCGTTTTAAACAAAAACACTCGAGTTCACACACACGCATATCAATTCCGTCCGGCGTTCCACACAAACGCAACACATGACCGCTCAAAAACCGCAGGCGTTACAGGCCATCGACACCGACAATGTTGAAAACGGGGTCGAGATTATGTGTTGGCATGCTTACAATGCATCGTATTCTGCCGCTGGTTTGGTGAGTGTCACTCACCGAAAACTGGGCCACTGAGTGCGGTGCTTGGGTGTTGTTGAGGTGTCTGGTGTTGGCCTAATGTCATCCGAATTGCTAGGATCGTTAGTGGATGTTGACCCAGATTTGGACAAGACAAAGTTGTTTTGGGCGCTTATTATGTTGACCATTGTGTTTATGCTGATTTACAGTTCACATGTACAGTGGCATATGATATGCGTGGGGCACCACGTGCAAACGGATGAGCAGGAATCGCAGTGGTGTTTTCGATAGTCATACGGGAGTATTTATCGCTAGAACGATGGAAACATTACCGTTGAATTTGTCGACGATTAAAATTTCTAAACCAAATGTGTTTTTCGTACATCTTGATTCCATGTTCCCTGTGTTATGACCTCTGATGGAGATAGTCGCGTTAAGAAGCGAAAAATATTTGAACAGACTACACAGTATGAGTATCGTACACAGCCACAAGGGTGTACGTGCAACGAAAACGTAACAAGGTTTTCTAAACAGGTCTGCCCTCGATTGATAAAAGAGAATGTACCGGGTATGTATTCATTCCTCTAGCGATTCAAGAAGCGGACACTTTGTCATGACAAAAGTAAGATGCGAGGAATGGTGTTTGATAACAATGGAACTTTTGATCTCACCCTTCGCCTTATGTGCAATGGTGCGACTTATGGCTTATGCAGTGAGTCCCTGCTGAAAACCAACCGACTANCTTATGCAGTGAGTCCCTGCTGAACACCAGCGCATCATGACACCACTACTAACCGAAGATGCCCCCTGGTGTGGTGACGAAAAGTTTACAATCCAAGTGTCAAGTTCAGCAAGCAAGTCAACCGTCGACTCCACAACCTGAGCAACCAACTTTATCCTCCATATTTCACCGCCTTCCTGTGTGAGTTCAACGCATAGTGAAAACGACACCGTTTGGTAGCTGCCTATCACATGTAGTCCACATGCATCTCCATGAAAACCCCCTTCAATGTGGTCACCATTACCTCATGAAAATACGCAGCAGCTGCTCTCAAAAACACAATTTTTGTGGTATTCTGCGCTTACGAATTGTAGGTGTATATTAAATGTCACCCTACTTTCTCTGCTTTAACAAAAGAGCAGAATTCTTACAACTCATACGAAGTTTTATGAATCCTTTGTTCACCGCCCATTTCAACAAAAACCAAATGAGACCTTCCAGAATGTTCTAGTTCTAAAACCAGCCTCTAATTTCTACCTACAGATGAGCACATTTTTCAACGCAGTTTTCTGCCTTGACGTGTAATCGCACTGCCAATCGGGATCATGAGAACGTCCCCGGAAGAGGCGACCACACCCTACACTATAGATCCAACATTCTACTCACCGTTTGCTGGTGTGCGGACCTTGATACCACACTGTGCCGATCAGTGACAGACTTGCATACTTGTTGACGTCACTAATGCGGATAATTGAGGTTTGTTGTATGATTCTGCTCACCTTTGTGTGAATAGTGCCGTACACTTTCGGACCCAATTCTCCTCTATGCTATTCGGGATCGTCAAACCTACGCATCACTCAAAGTTCGGTATCGTGAACCCCAATAGTGTGTCTGGTGAATCTTTTGCGCTAGCGAAAAGATTTAGAAAACACGTTCACTTGTTTCGTCGCATTCTGCTGTAAAATAGCCTTTGGGTCGACATCATCATCATCATCAACAGCATAGCACTAGTGTTCACTGCCGTCCAACCATGGGTTGACAGGTGAGATTGCTATTATTCTAACTATAGATAGACCCAAATTCTCATTGTTGTGATATTAAAGATCTGCAAAATCGGCTTGTTAAGGTTTCGCTACTCCGACCTACCTTTCCGTAAATCGGACTGGTGTGCAGGTTAAGGATGATAGCTTCAAGATGATGCACGAATTTGGTAGCCTTTCTGCGACTTGCATATTGTGAGTATTAGACCTGCAGGGCTTATTGTAATACGTTTAACTACTGCAGTTTTTTTTGCACCGAATTTCTTCTGTTCACATTGACATTTCTTCTGAATAATTTCACTGACGGTGTAGATTATTAAAATGTCAAGATCTTCAAAATTGCATCCAATCTCAGTTCTTTGACCGACTCATTTTAGTCTGTATCACCGGGCACAATCATCCCATCGTTTTATTTTGCTCAATGTAACGCTCTCTTTTGGAACATACACTAGGGAACTGGACTGCGCTTCCAGGTAGTGTCACATCTTTTGTTATTTTTCCACTGATTTCGTAGCTCAGAGACATTCTTGTACTTTGGATGGCATGGAACCGATTTCATAGTGCATACTTTTGGGTACAACATGGGCATCGGAGTATAAGCAATATCGAACCGTTTCCTTAGATTTCGTCCGGTAAAATCCACACAGTTTCGGGATTTTATAATCCCCTCCTCAGTTAATCGTATGGAAGTTGATTTTAGATCGGGGTTTCGGTCATTCATCTCCAGGGGCAGGATCGGGGAAATTGGTTGTAAATCAGGTTGTTTTAAATTTTAATAACTAATGTTGGTCTGATCGCTTCTTTGGATTCTGAGGATGATGTACACATTTTACAAATGAAGTTGGTCGAGAACCCGAACAATTTTTGTAGATACCACAATAGCGCGATAAGACGCAATCTTGCGGTCTACGCGCAAATACTGACTCCTTCAGACACACTTTAAAAACCCTAGGTCGATAGTCTTCCATCTATGATCTCCTTGTTCCCGTTGATTAAATATTTAGGTGAAATTGAGGGTGTAATTAGCTGCATAACGTTAGCCTGCTAGATGGGGTCATGCCCGCTGTTTCAGACGGCAGCCGAACTAACCAATGTTTTTATATTTGTGCCATCACTACGCTTCGTTTTTTCCAAGATGAATGATTAATCCTGTCACCATCGGCTATCCTGATGGCTTAGTATTGGCGAGAAAACACAAAAGAACCTGCGTCGGAACGTGTGACAGGAGCTTATGCATGCGTCAGGAAGTCTGGTCGATGGTCGAGTCTTTCAGGGCCTGACACAGCTAAAGTTTAATCCAGCGTCTTCTGATTTGCGCAAAATTCACCTTGTTCTCAATATCATTCGAAGAGTCTAAGGGAAATGTCATGCTTGACAAGATTAGTTTTGACATTCAGTTTCCATTTAGACGTGAACTTAGTACGGATCGCGCACTCGAGGCCATTGGATCTGTTCTGGAACGATCAACTGATACCAAATTTCTTGTCCTGGAGGGTGCCAGTGGTCGTTATTTAATAAACAAGTTTGGATCTAATTGCACTCAAAAACCACAAGACTATTGTGACTCTCACTGCGAACCAAAATAACGAAATCGCTCAACCTTTGTTTCATCGGTTTGCGTTGAATTCGCTTCTTTTATTTGAGTGGTAGTGAGCAAATGAGATAGCTATGTTAGCTTATTTTACAGTAGTCAGACTGTTTTTACTTTGTGTTCTCATGTGTGGGCTGAGTATTCAGCATTTTTGCAGACTGATGAACGGTGCATATTTTCTAAACAGGTGGAAGGTATCATTTTCTCAATGGTTGGTAGCAACACGATTTATAATCTCTCTCGCGAGGTTCAAGAGACTAGCAGTTTTGCTTACATCTGACAGAACGCATAGTTTTGTGCTGTACAGGTAGGTGTTTGTATAGAGAGCGAGCTGAACCACCTCCTCGTGGTACCAACGGGGTAGCCCGGAAGTCAGTCTGGGTGAGCTAAGAGTTCAGCAACTCCAAACAGGACTAACTGCCCTGTTTGGTTTCAATGTGCTAGCTACTTTCGACAATGTACTCTACGAAGCATCTGGCGCTTCCGCACCAGTTCTAACCAGTACACAGGAGAGATTTGTGGGGCTGACGTGTGAGGAATGTGGAATATGCTGGAAATCGAAAGCTCACCATCGAGTTCACGATAATGAAAGTGTTGGTACGAACATGGTTGCGCAATTGGCCTGCGCTGCTTGTTCCCACCATTCTCCGAAGAAGATTGGCCTCAAGTCAACATCGCCGGCACGCACACCCCACTCAGCACAATGCAGATAAACTTGGCCGAGTGAAGTAAGCCGGTACCCACTGGTCCCGACAAGAATCTAGATGGCTCTTGCTCCTGGCTAACAATTGATATCCATCTTGTGACACGCGAACATCTTGTGGCGCGTAAACCGCATTGTTCGCGAGTCGACCGGCTAATAGCATCAAAACCAGGTTACGGATGCTTAACTGGCAAGCACAATAGGGTGAATCATCATCTGGTGGACCTGACCAAACTATCGGTCAGACGACGACCTACTCATCAGAAGCCGATGGCTACAGCGTCTGGTTTAAACAAACCGTAGATTGCGCCTTGGAATTCCATGCTGACAGTTCGCTTGCTAGTGTTGACCTTTTGGCATTTGCAGCCTGGCATCATGACACCGGAGTAAATCCTGTCGCTTCTGGACCTCCACGCCTCCAGGACATTTCCACACACCTGGAAAACTGTAGCCCAATGCTGTCGTCAGTTAGCTCATCAGATCCTGGTCAACCGAAAGCAGATCCGCCGAGCCAACTACGCCATCATCCAGACCGTATACCACCAAAGACGGAAAGATGCAGCGTCTGTTGTGCCCGATGGGTCATGGAAGGATCTACACAAGGGTAAGTGCGGCCTACCTCTGCACGTTGAGCAGTACTGGAAACAGATGCTCTCAGCTCCAAAACACGTAGATAGCCGGCCAAGTCGCATAGTAGTACCGTCCGACTGGAGCTTGATCGAGCCAATTACGGGAGAGGAAGTCGACCGTACGATCCGCCTAATGGGCAACTTAACCCCAGGCCTGGATGCTCACGCCCGGGATGCTCCGCCGGTTCAATGCTAAACTGCTTGCTGGGTAATTCGACTTACTCTTATTATCTCGGGGTTGTGCCCCACATCTACGTCGTGCCCGTATTACCCTAGTTTTGAAGGTCCCAATTCCGACTTCACCGGATCAACTGAGACCGATCTCCGTGACATCCATTCTTGTCCGGTGCTTTCATAAGGTGCTCGCTGATCTCTCGGGTCGTAGATTGCAACTGTCCTCACTTCAGTTTGCATTTCTGCATCGAGACGACTGTCTGGAAGCTACATCGCTGTTACATGTCATGCTTCGTCACTCTTCAGCGACTGCTTCTTACCTCAGCTTGGCGTTTGTTGATATCTCGAAACCGTTTGATTTGGCTTCGCATAACACAATCGTCAGATCTACCGAGACGTTTGGGACACAGTACCTCCGGTTCGATCCGTTGCACAGTCGTATGAGAATGTTTTAGCAGTTTTCCCCAGTTCCAAGGCTTACTGCCACAGAGGTGTGAGGCGAGGAGGTCCACTCTTCCCATTATTGTTCATCATGGCAATGGATAAGGTTCTTGGATTATCGATGGCGCAACTGGGATACTAGTTCCATGACACCTTCGTAGATGACTTTGTCTCCGATGACGACTGGGTCGTGTGTGCAGAATGTCAGGCCCACCTTAAAGAGAAGCTTGAAGCTGTTGCGGTCGAGTTGGGAAGAGCTGGTATAAAGATAAACGCTCGAAAGACGAAAGTGATGGTGAGTTGTGGGGACATGAAACATCAGGCGACAGCAGTCGCACTCAAACCATTTTGTTTCGCCGAGGAACTCATCACTCCCCTGGATCAGACAGACACCGTAACATAGTTGGACATTCTCTTTACTTCCAACGGAAAAGGGGTCTTCAACCACCTAAAGCACCTGCTCAAACTGCTCGATAAGGGGACGCGTGCCCCGGTGAACAACCGGAGGGTTTAGAGCATTTTTGCAGCCGTGTTGTATCACGCATGACCTCGGATGTGCTAGGCATATTCAAGTTGCAAAAGAACTCGCAAAACTTTTCCGTCGACTGGGAGTTGACAGCACCTACTTCGACGCCCTTCATCAAACCTGATCTAATCGCTGTTCGGGAGCGCCGATCAACTGTAATGGACGCCAGCATAGTCTCAGATGGGCGCGCAGTGACTGTGTGGAATGAGAAGAAGCGGAAGTATGGTGCTGATGAATGTTCGCTTGCCATAATCTCAGTCCTGCATGCAGTCGGTTGTGATGCCGACGTTTTGGTCTGCCAACCGATGACCATCTCTTATCGAGGGATCTGCTTTCCTCAATCCGGCAAGGCTCTTATTGGACTGGGACTTCCTAAGGTCACAGTCAGTGACTTGTGTTTACCTGCTATTGTGGGCTCTCTCCGTACTTACGACACTTTTATGCGTGGCACATGGCACTGAGTGCACATTTTTGCCATTTAATCTCACACCAGACCCAATATGATGAACACTGTGCCTGATGTGCGAGTCTTGACTGTGCTTACCGCACCTTGAAGAGCATTCAGCATTGTTTGTCCTTTCATCAGTTATTGGTCTTCACACGCGTGTTTTCATACCCAAAATTCTTA